ATCTTCCTATACAATCTCAATTGCCACTTAGCAGATCTCCTTATGTCAATACATACTATAAGATGCTGGACTAAAAATTTTTTAGTCCTCAAAAATTTTTTCTAATATCTTTCTATCCTGTGTAACTTCCTAGAAGCATTTATAAAACTCTTACTAAATATACAAAGTTAACTGTTCATCACTCAAATTGCGGTAACAAATTTGATTCAATACGACAAAAAAGCTTAACTAAACACAAAGTTCTTTTCAAAATAATCTTATTCAAATGTGCTCAAACATCACAAGTTTTAACATCTTTTACTAAGGGGACTATTTAAAACCTGCAGTAAGTCACTGGTACTTATTACAGTCCATTTACCTGTGGTTTCACTAGCAAACACAGTGATTACAACGTAGGAAAACACCTAAACTGTTCAAGACAAAAAAAAAAAAAGGTCATTCTTGTAACAAAATATCTGAAGATTGGTAACTCTTTTAAATTTCTTAAGTCTGTTCCAGTGGTTAATTACCCTGATAGTTGAGGGGTTCTTTACAGCTAACCTAGCTGTACCACTAGATTTAATTCTACTTCCTCTCTTTCAGTCCCTGAAGACTGTACCAGACAATTAACTACATAAAAATGCAGATTATTAAAAGATGAAAGTTGAGCCCTGGCCGGTTTGGCTCAGCGGTTTGAGCGTCGGCCTGCAGTACAGAGAGGCGCGGGTTCGGTCCCCGCTAAGGGCACGTACCTCGGTTGCAGTTTGTCCCGGCCCTGGTTGGTCGTGCGGGTGGCAGCCACTCGATGTGTCCCTTCACATCGATGTTTCTCTCTCTCTCTCTTCCTCTCTCTCCCTCCCGCTCTATCTGAACAAAAAATGGAAAAATGTCCTCGGGTGAGGTTGAAAAAAAAAAAAAAAGATGAAAGCTGATATTTGGGAGGGGGGAATAGGAAGAAAATAAGAAAAGGTCAAGAATATTATTTTTCCTTTGTTCAACAAATCAGTTTCACAGTACAAATTTTCCTCCTTGACAACTGTGTTTTGTTTTCTTATTGATTTTATTAGAGAGAGAGGAAGGGAGAGAGAGAGATAGAAACATTGATGAGAGAGAACATGGACTGGCTGCCTCCTGCACACTCCCCACTGGGGATCCAGCCCCGCAACCTGGGCATGTGCCATGACCAGGAATCATACTGGCAACTTTTGGTACGTAGGTCAATGCTCAACCACTGAACCACACCGGTTGGGCTGTGCTAATTCTTTCTAAGAATGTTTAGGCCTGGCCAATGTGGCTCAGTTGGTTGAAACATCGTCCCATATACCAAAAGGTGTTGGGACCAAAAAAAAAAAAAAAAAGGAAATATGAGATCTAAGAAATAAGGAATCCAACACAGACAGGCAAAGGGAATTCCCAAGATGGCTATGAAAAAGACCTACAAAAAAAACAGTCTAAATTGGAACTGGAGAATGAAGAGGACAAATAGAGATGTTAATGGGGGGGGGGGGGACACTAATATATTGCACAAACCCCTTAAAGGTAAGGAGAGAAATTTACCTTGCTGTTTTGGTAGTGGCCATCCACCAGTAGCTTCCTGAGAAGGAAGTACATGAGAAGTAATATGTTTGGATCCCAAATGTCTGGTTATCACCTTTTCTACTAAGACTTTTAGGCACTAAAATGCTGACTGGAAGTTCTATGTATTGAGTAGCCATGAAGTTACAGTCTTTAGTAGGGTAATTAGTCAGAGACCTGCCCATTTTTATTGGGTGCCTGTTGCTCACCAGTCTATTCCCACCCATTTAAGTTAGTCAGTTTTCCCAGAGGAGTCCTTCGGTATCCTGACTAGCGAGTATATAGTTTGTTGTCAATGTTTAGGGAGCCTACTGGGAAAAGGGTACTTAATACTTGTATACTTATATTGGGGATTACTTGTATAGTATTTAGATTATCACTTAATCCCTCTTTTAAATCTAGGGGTGAATTATCTATTAATAGGTACATAGATCAGGGATCGGCAAGCTTCATCAGTAAAGATCCAGGGAATAAATAGTTTAGGCTTTGTGGGTCATCTGTCTCTGTCACAACTATGCAATTTTACTGTAGTATAAAAATAGGCATAAAATAAACCATTAATGAGTGAGCGTGGCCGTGTTACAATATAATTTTATTTACAAAACAGGTGGCAGGCTGCATTTTCTCTGTGGGGTGGCAGTTTACCAACCCCTAACATAAATATTGGGTGAAAAAAAGATAATTATTAACACTGGAGAAAACAAAAAGATGTGAAGGAAATGGAATATAATTCAACTACATTATATGGCTCAGCCACAAATAATATTTATATAGCCATAATAATATAAAAAATAGGTATTGTTTTTACCAAATCTTATAATAACTATATTGGCAAGATAAGGAAAGAGACAGGGGAGGAGAGTGGGAGGGATGGGAAGAGATTAACCAAAGAACATATATGTATAGCCCATGGACACAGACAACAGTATGGTAAAGGCCTAGGGTGAGGCAGGGGCTGGGTAGAAGGGGACAAAGGATAGGGAAATGGGAGACATCTGTAATAGTCACAAAAATAAAGAAAAAAAAAGAAAAAAAAATAGGTAAGAAAAGACAGAGCCCTGGCCAGTTTGGCTCAGTGGTTAGAGCATCGGCCTGTGGACCAGAGTCCCGGGTTCGGTTACTGCTAAGGGCGTATACCTCGATTGCAGTTTGTCCCCGGCCCCAGCTGGAGTTGTATGGGTGGCAACCAGTTGATGTGTCTCTCTCACATTGATGTTTCTCTCTCTCTCTTCCTCCCTCAATCCTTCCAGCTCTATCTGAAGATGAATGCAAATATGTCCTCGGGTGAGGTTTAGAAAAGAAAAAAGAAAAAAAAAGAAAACACAGAAGGAAGAAGAGTATATACAAGTATGCTAATGTTCATGTGGTGGTATTAGGGGGGTATTAGGAATAAAATACCTAAACCATTAATAGAAAGTCAACAGCCCTATCTGGCCTGTGTGACTCCATGGTTGAGCGTCGACCCATGCACCAAGAGGTCACCAGTTCAGTTCCTAGTCAGGACACATGCCCAGGTTGTAGGCTCAATCCCCAGTGGAGGCATGCAGGAGGCAGCCAATCAATGTTCTCTCTTATCAATGTTTCTATCCCTCTCTCCCTCTCTCTCTAAAATCAGTAAAGGGAAAAAAAACATTTTTTTTTAAAGAAAAAGAAGAAAGTCAACAGCCCTGGCATACTTTGCTCAGTGGTTAGAGAGTCGGCTCTCGGACCAGAGAAGCGGTTTGATTCCCGGTCAGGGGTGTGTACCTGGGTTGTAGATTCAATCCCCTGCCCCAGCTGTGGTCCTGTGGGAGGCAATCAATCGGTCTCTTTCTCTCAGATGTTTCTCTCTTTCTCTCTCTCCCTCCCTCCCACTCTTTCTAAAAATTAATGGAAAAATATCCTCAGGTGAGGATTAAAAAAAATATAAAAATAATTAAGAGATTGCCTCTGAAAAACACATCTAGTAGTTGGGGCTCAGGACTACAGGTTTTCATTTTAAATCCTGGTTATCTGCTTGACTTCTTAAAACTATATAGTGAGGATTGCTGATTGCCTACCTGATATTTATTTCCCTTCTAACTGCCTACTCAATATCTCCATTTCTTACTACTAACCTTAAGTCTTACTTTGTACAGAGAGTCAATGTTCCCACATAAAAAATATGTTTCTCTTTGTATAGCCAATGATATATCAGCTAAAGTTTCCAGAAAAGAATCTATTTTCTGATCTAAGGGTCAACCCCCTTCTTGCTTCTTCCCTTCCTTCCTCTTCCTGCCTAGAATCCACTGTGACTGAAGGAATGGACCATGAGAATGAAAGTCAAAGGCTAAAGATGACAGAACAGAAAACTCCAGGGCACCTGAGTCCTTGACGACATTATTGAACAGATATACCAGTACTGAACTTGAACAGATATACCAGTATTGAACTATCTACTTCCAGACTCCTTGCTATTAAGAAAAATCAATTTTCCTACATAAAACAGGCAGTTAGGTTTTCATTCATTTGCAACTGAATGCATTCCTAACTTGTACAATTATTTTGTTCACAATAAAGGTTTGTTCAGGCTTATCTGCTCATCCATCCTACTAAAACTAAGTATGAAAAAACTCCACATGCACATGAAAAAAAAGATGTGCACACATGACATAAAAAGAGGGCATCTCAATAATGATTACAATAACAACCATATATTTACTTCATATCTTCACATCTTTTAAGGAAAATGAATAAATTTCCTTCATTTTCTCTTCTTCCACATCCCATCTTACTTGCCACTGTTTCATCTCTCTTGAAACCTCACTAATTCAACAACTACTTGGGACTGAATCTCCTAACAGATTGTGCCTATATTATTCAAATAATATTATTTAAATTACAGTAGCCTAAAGCTTTTAACTGCCTACATCTAAAACTACTCTACAAATTAGTGTCACACATTTTCTTAATTCAAATTTCAAGAAAAGTATAAACACTCCAAGAGTAAACACATGTCTTATAGAGGAAAACACAAACTTAAATTACTTGAAAGCAAAATGAGGGCTTTGGAAATGTAAAAGGTTAACTCAACCCAAAACAAAACTATGTATCACTATCTTTAACAAGCATTAAAGTATTTAATTTTTAACAGAGCACTATGAATATACATTTCCACTAATACTAAAAAAAGTAACTTCAATGCATAAGCTTATGCTTTCATCACACATTTTTTTCTATCAACCTAAAATAAAATTTAGGCCACTGTACTGACACACAGCCTATTCCCACTGCAAGAAAATTCTTAAAATGTGTAAAAGAAAAGATGAAGTGGTTAAAGAAAATTGAATATTTATAGTATTTTGCCAAATTTAACTTCCTAAATGTTTATAATATATTAGCTTGCTTTAGTCCACATTTTCTGTAAAGCCATAAATATTGACAAACCTAAAGAAATACCAAGTAAGAGTTTAAATAAGATAGCTTACCTTTTATTTATTGGTTTTTCATCTTTTTCGTAAGGCTTTACAAACCACTTGCCAATACGTACAAAGTTCCGGTTCATCAAACACCGTTCCAACAGATTGTGAACTGCTTTGAAAAGCAGAGTACGGCACTCATAAGAAAGTCCATTCTCCCAAACTCCATCTTCCTCTTCTACAAGAGAAATGAAAGAAACAAAAAGTAAAGTAGTGGCACCATATTTACTCAGAGACAAGTAAAAAGTGTTACGGTTTAGCCCTGGCCAGTTTGGCTCAGCGGCTAAGTGTCGGCCCGCGGACCAGAGAGTCCTGGGTTTGGTTCCCACTAGGGACACATACCACCAAAAAAATAATAATAAATAAATAAAAGTGTTACGGTTTAAAATAAATACATAATCCTTAATTCACCTCAGTATATTGAGCTACAATCACTTCCATATATCTCTGGACATTAAAATAGCAGGTTTCAAAATTACTCCATAAGGAATAAAAGGCCTAAGTGTCATGTATTCTATTAAATTACCTGAAAATTATTTTCCCACCGTATAAAAAGGTAACGCTATATTGCAAATGTACTGATTTGGTTTCTTTATCAATGAAAAGGACATTTGTATAACTGGGAAATATTAAACACACTCCATACCCTAAAATGCCAATTTCTAAGCTGGCTCACTTGTTTCTTTGTCCTGATTTCTCCAGTCAGTCATTCAGCCTGCCAAAAAAACTAGCTAGTTAATAATTACATTCAAAACATTTTATATCCATCAGCATTCTAATCCATGACTCAACTTAAATAACTGATGAATAAAAAGGAGGCTTTTGGCTCAGAGCCTAACAAACAGTCCATTATCAGCCACCTTAGGTCTCATTTCAACCAAATGATTCCCATGATAAGTATAGAATCCTCCACTTGGGAGAGAAATTTAAAAATTTAAAGACTTAAGCTTTAAATGGCACTTCTGATTTAAAGTTATAGCTATCTTTACTAACTATACAGCCTCAGTTTTGCCAGCAAACCTATTAACCACTCCAAGTTAACTTAGATACTACTTCAGCATTTTAACTTTTATTGTAATGTTTTAAATTGTTATTTCAAATATAATTTAGTACCATTATATAGTCTATGTACCTTTATAAACATTTTATAAATATTGGTCATCTTCTTTCAATTTAATAAATGACAAAACCTTTCTTAATTGAACATTGAAAATGTATATACTATACCCATAGAAAAATAATAAACTATGATGCTTTTGAATAAAAGCAAAGACATGTATTAAGAGTGACACATAGTTTATATTCATAACTTGCACAACAAATCGATAGAATAAACATTAACTAAAAAACATGACTAAACTTTAAACTGAAATAGAGCCCTGGCCAGTTTGGCTCAGCAGTTGGAGCATCGGCCTGCGAACCAGGGAGTCCCGGGTTCGGTTCCGCTAGGGGAACATACCAAAAATAAATAAATGAATGAATGAATGAATGAATAAAATAAACTGAAATAGAAATGTATGGCACTACAAAATTTAATGTTGAATTTGTGTTGTTCTTTAAAGAGTTTCCTAGATTATAGTCATCTTTCATGTTAACTACTTCTACTTAAACGAAAGGCTTTAAAAAAATGAGACAAGCCCTGGCCCATTTGTCTCAGCGGTTAGAGCGTCGGCCTATGGTCCAGAGAGACCTGGATTCAGTTCCTGCTAAGGGCACATACCTCAGTTGCAGTTTGTCCCTGGCCCTGGTTGGGTCATGCGGGTGGCAACCACACGATGTATCTGTCCCTTTTATGTCGATGTTTCTCTCTCTCTCTCTCCCTCCCACTCTATCTGAACAAAAAATGGAAAAACGTCCTCGGGTGAGGATAAAAAAAAATGAGATAAGCTTTAGAAAATGACAATACTTGAGAGTTGGAATAAATTTTAAATCATTAATATCTGACACTAATATTAAATTAAAAAGTTCTCCGTATTCTATTATATTATAGACATCCTTATCTACTTCTATTTTAAAGCCCTACCTTTAAGAGTTTGACTTTAATAAAGAAAACAGTAGGCTAAGAGAAAAGGGAAGTGGCACATAGTGACATCGCTTTTATTAAAGGTCTGGATCACAAGCATATTTGCGAGTTGCTAAGAGAAAAGAAGTGAATCTTTCTCAATCAATCTGCTTTCAGCTTAATCAATTTCTATCACTTCAAAATTAAATAGCTTCATTAAGAGTTTTACCTCAATCCCTGGCCCTGGTTGGGATTGTGAGGGAGGCAACCAATCGATGTGTCTCTCTCACATTGATGTTTCTCTTCCCCTTCCTCCCTCCCACTCCATCTGAAGATAAATGGGAAAATATCTTCAGGTGAGGATTTAAAAAAAAAAGGAGTTTTACCTCAAATTGTGTGACTTATGATTACTAAAAATATACATCCTTAATTTCAAGAGAATTATGCTGGAAATATCTCCAAACTCTTCCCTTCTTTATAATCTATTTAGTATACTTTATTTTTGTTGACTTTTATCTTAAAGATCCTTACCTTCTAAGCAGCACAATGGTTGTTAACATTTGTCCTATACAAGTAGCCTTTACCAAAATCATTTTTTTATTTCTAAGTTTTAAAGCATCAAAAATCCAAGACACACAGTTACCATTACGTATCAAAGTTGTACAATCACTATAAACTTCAAATATCAGAAAATTATTCACTTAAAACTTGAGCCTAAATTTGTCTTCTTCCCCAAAAGAGTAAATTAAAAAATCTTTGGCATCGTAAAGATTGTAATACAATAGTTTACGTAAATTTTCACATAAAACTCTGAAAATATTTTAGTTTTGTTCATTTTAAAAATCCATTTCAGTTAAATCTGTAGTTAAATGATTTAAGAATACTAAATATAGTTTAGAAAATTAATCAGTATCAATTCTCAAGCATTTCTTCCTCATCACTCTAGAGAAACTCAGGTGAACTTAATCCTCATTTTACATTATATCCTCAACTGCCCACAATTCTCATTAACACTAAATGAACATTATGCATAAAACAAAGAGACCACCTGTTAGAGTTTTCTAAAGCCAACAAATCTCTGAAGTACATCTTCACCTATGTAGCAAGTAACTAAGGAACCATTACACTAAAGTAATATAATTTCACTTTTCATTGCTGAGGAAATAATGAGAATTAAGTCCTAATAATGCTCAATAAAAAGTATGAAGGGGGAGGGGATCACTTAGAAACAAGCCGCCTCCTAAGTAAGCCAAGCTTCTAAAATCCTAATGTTATAATAATCCTTATAAAAGTACCTCTCTGCATGTTGTATTCAGATACGAAAAGTGAAATAGTACACCCCAGACATAGTGATATGCAACTCTTACACTAATTAAAACAAGTCCTTGAATCTCAACAACATCATATTAGGAAAGGGAAGGAAAGAGGAACACGTGGCAAATCTTTACCTACCTCTTTTGAACTTACTAATGGAAAAAAGCCTAATGGAAAAAAGTCTGCTTAATGTGTTTAAATAAATATCTTCCTCCTCTAGTATCTGTATCCCCCAGAGAAAACAATTTCAATTCTATGTTTTTAATACTTTTCCATTACTATTAGTACTAGAACTCTTAATCATTGCTACTTATTTTACAAAGTATTTATTTGAACAATGCAGAAGTTCAAATGCTAAATGTGATTACTATAAAATATTTCTTTCTGAGGATACAGATTATAGTGATACCAAAGTATGTGGTAGGTCATCAAAACAAAGCTCTGAGTGGGTGTAAAAAACAAAAAAGCTGATACACCTAGTACGCATACTAAACATTTTTCTCAAAAGTGACATCATTAAATATCTCCACAGTGATAAGCTGGGAGAGAAGGAATCTTTTCCTAATAAATTCTGACAAGCTATTAGAATGCAATATACACTAATGATTAATAAATTGGTCAAAATTATCATGGTAGAAAATACCATGTATTTCCTGAAAGAATAGAGAAAATTAAATGTCTAGTTTGTTATTTGTCTTTAAGAGTAATTGCCTATTCATAAACCATTCATTCAATATTATTGAGAGCCTCAAATGACAGCATTGTTGATGGCAAAACCAACTTTGATTTAAAAATAGCCTGATACATTAATGATTATTTTTTGAAGATTTAAAAGACACTTTCTGTTCAAAATGAACAGTATACAGGAGAAATACGGTAAAGTTGTCCCTAGAAGATCAGCCAATATAAAAAGTTGGGTCACAAGTATTATGGTACAGAAGATAGAAATAAATTAACTCTCTTCAGTCTACATGGGGCACAAAACAATTTTTTAGTTTGTAGATTCCTATACTTGGCTGCTGTTTATCTGTCAAAGCTTATCTGTTAAAGCTGCCACTTAAGGTTACATCCACTATAATTAATATCCTTCAATAAAAAGCATCCAAAATAAATTCTAAGACTAACCAATGGCCCATTTAGTTTAACAGTACTATGATGAAATTCCAGTATAATGAAAATATTTAGACATGCTGCTAAAATCCCATATATGGACCAGAGATCCAGGGAAAATAACAAACATTTTTAGCTCTGAGTGTTTTTAGTTCTCAAGGTATCAGTTTTCTCAGACTCTCATCACATTCTAGCTTATTACAATTTTTTTAAAACATGCAAATGTTGGAAGAGGGAGTTGTTTTTGTTTTTATTTTGTTTTAAAGGAAAGACTAAAAACCAATTATGACAGCAATAAAATTTCAAAAAGGTTAAGGCACAGAATGAAAATACTAATGATAGTGAAACAATCTTGCTTTGAAGCAAACTAACAATACACTTAAAATAATCAATCAGTTCTACCCACTATAAAGACTTTTAACCAGTGTGACAAAGCTAAAATTTTCCATCAATTTTATACTTCTATCATATAAACACTAAACAAGGTCTGCTACAAAGTTCAAATTCAAAAGTAAATAAAATTTAAAAGTTTGTAATCAGGAGTTTTGTTCCCTAATTTTTTTTCTATCAAAACATATCAATATAGTTTCAACTATCCATTCTCTTAGAGAAAGCAGAGCAAAAAGTCGTGTGTGTGTATGTTTTAAGTGTTTGGTTTTGGATTCAAGGGATATTTTGAACAAATAAGATTCTAGAACATTATAGTTAGACCAATACTAGTTAGCACAAATAGTTTTTTTTTTATCCTCAGCCGAGGACATTTTTTCCATTTTTTGTTCAGATAGAGTGGGAGGGAGGGAAGGAGAGAGAGAAACATTGCCTTGAATGGGACACATCAAGTGGTTGCCACCCACACGACCCAACCAGGGCCCAGGACAAACTGCAACCAAGGTACGCACCCTCAGCGGGAACCAAACCCAGGTCTCTCTGGATCACAGGTTGACGCTCTAACCGCCGAGCAAAACCGGCCAGGGCTAGTTAGCACAAATCCTGACCCAAATTATTATCAGGCCTTTGCAAACAGTATGGTAAAATATTAAAACAGGTCTTACTAAACAGTACTGGCTACTGCTACAAAATAAGTAACTGAGGGTTTAAAGCATTTATTAAATCAGATTTGGTTTGCTGTAACAGATTTTTACCAATTAGCAATAAAACAAGTTTAAATTCTATTCCTACACATCAGCTAAACTTGAAAGGAAAGGGACCCAAACATGTGCTACATGACATGAGAGAGAGAAGCAGAAATTTAAAATGCACTATGGAACCTGACCAGACTATTCAGAACTATCAAGATCACCAAAAACAAGGGAAGTCCGAGAAACTGTCTCAGTTTAGAATAGCCTAAGGAGACATGATAAATGGAATGTGGTATCCTGGATGAGATCATAGGATAGAAAAAGGATATTAGGTAAAATAAAAAAATTTCAAGTAAAGTATGGATTTAGTTTATACAAATATATCAATATAGGTTCATTAGTTGTGAAACTGTACCATTCTAATGTAAGATGTTAACAAGAGAAACTGTGTGAAGGTTATACAGGAACTCTCTATACTACCTTTGCAACTTTTATATAAATCTAAAACTGTTTTAAAATAAAAACTTTTTCTTTTTTTAAAAATACACTATGGTGGGAAGAAGGTGGTCAATGGGGGATAAAGGGGGACATCTGTAACACTTTCAACAATTAATAAGAAAAACTGAGACTTTTAATCTTTGCAAAAAGAAATGCCTTCCCTCCTTCACTAACAAGAAGGGCCTTATCACCACCATGATTACCAACATTTTAGTAACAAGATGTGGTGGTAGGTGCTGAACCAAACAGAAGGACACTGCCTTGAAGAGCAGCTTCAAACTAAATTAACCAGCTTTTTAGTTACCACCTGGGTCCTTCCGGTTCCCCTTTCCTCAGTGCTACACCTCCACCTGGAACTCAGGATTGACTCCTGCAGCTGATGCCACCCCTACTGTCCAGATGCTCTCTTCTCAGGGGAGCTTAAAAGAAGGAAATAGAGTGCCACAGATGGGAAGAAATGAAAATGGGTTAGCTAGAGAGACAGAAGCATAGACTAATTACCCCAAAAGGGAGGCTGACGGTGTCCCTGGGGCAAAGAAAAGGATGAGACAAATAAACATCTGAAAAGATATTACCTTTCTTTAAGATATGTCTGATTTAAGTAACAACATTCTAAAGTAAATGACAGGTTAAAAATAAAGCTAGAACATTATATAAACACCACTGACTACACAACTGTTTAAAACAGTACAGGACAGTCTTTGGAAAAGCAAATATGATTATATATGACTCCTAATATATTTTGGTTTACCATTTCAATTGCTTTCATTCTGGTAAAATTTTTTAATTTATTTACCACTGAATGGCATTCAGTAAAATCTGACAATTAAAACCCAATTTTCCAAAATTACTTACATTCACATTCAAAATCAGTATTTAAAAATACATGTATTACCATTTTTTAAATTATGCTAAAAAATTAAACTAAAGAAGAAATGTTTTAAACTGTAACCTAGTTTCAGAAGAAAACTTTTAACTCATTAGAAAAATATCAACATAGTTTTTTTAACATACAACAAAACAGCTTACACTTTAATTGGCTTTTGACTTTCAAAGCATTAGTCCCACTATGGTAAAATTAACTACTACATATCTGTTAAAATTATCTTTGATTCCACAAATTGTATTTCATGGAATCTGAGAAAAAAGGCCTGTTTAGATACTCTGCCAACTTTACTAAGAAGACTGAAACCTCCAAGAAAGCATTGTAGTTTATCAACAATTGTAGTTTATCTATAGTTTATAGATAGTTTGTCAACATTAAAACAGTCTTCAAACATTTTAATAAGGTGGTTTGTATACCACCTTAAAAAAAAGAAAAGAACTCAAGCATATCCAAGTCAATAAAAGAAAAAGGAAGCAGGCAGGCTTGGTTTTGACATGACAATTAGAAAGCATGATCTTGCTGATGCCATAAAGGAATGTTATATCACGAGATATATGCATACATCATATATATGTACATATACGTATATACAAACATCATTTTACATAATTAGGAATACATTACACGCTTAGCACTAAGGACTAGACTCTCCAGCAGAGATCTTATCAAGAAAGCTGGAAAGCTAGAAAGCATTTAGCATAAAAGAATTTCAACCACTCTCAAAAACAGGGATTAGCATGAAGGATTTGTTCATTATAAGGTGAAAAGCAACCATCAAAACAAATTTAACACGTACATTCCTGCACAAAAGTTGGTCTTATAAGCACTTATTTGAGATAGTGACCTGGATTACATTACATCCAAAAATAAAATAGGTCCTATAGATTAAACAGATAATAAAAACTTCAGAGTACTCAATTCAAATAACAATGCTTTTTAGTAATGTAAAAATCCTAAATTTATGTGTCAAGAATCATTATCAAACATCTTGCTGAAGCCTTTGATACCTTGCAGCAAACAACTAATCATTTACATTCCTATCATCAAAGATTTAGTTAATATTGACTCTTATAATCTAAAGTACACAAGCTTCAGTAATTCCTTGGAGAGCTATAGTTTATCTTTCTAAAGTAACATTTGGTCCTAAATTAAGAAAATAGGATGAAAGAAATCTTAATAATTTGCTCATAAATTTATTTCTGTGTAACTTTTTTGATTATGATCCCAACATCCTATAAAAGCTAAATAAGATGGCATTCTTCTCATATTCATGAGTCTCTGATGCAACAGTATCTAAAAGAATCACTTTTCCAGAATAACAAAATTAACACAAAGCCTCATGTTAATAATAACCACAAATGACAATAAATTAACTACATACCTTGAAAAAACACAAGTAAGTTACATTTCTAGATACTCCTACAATTGTCTGCATATTCATACAGAAGAGAACAGTGGCAAAATTTACTTCAAAAGTATATGGCCCAGGCCGGGCCTCCCGGCCTGTGTGGCTCAGTGGCTGAGCATCAACCCATGTACCAGGAGGTCGCCAGTTCAATTCCCAGTCAGGGCACATGCCCAGGTTGTGGGCCAAATCCCCAATGAGGGGCATGCAGGAGGCGGCCAATTGATGTTCTCTCTCACTGATGTTTCTCTCTTTCTCCCTCTCCCTTCCTCTCTCTAAAACTGGTTCTCAACCTTCCTAATGCCAGGGCCCTTTAATACAGTTTCTCATGTTGTGGTGACCCCACCATAACATTATTTTTGTTGCTACTTCATAACTATAATTTTGCTACTATTATGTCTTAGGTGACCCCTGTGAAAGGGTCGTTCAACCCCCAAAGAAGTCACGACCCACAGGCTGAGAACCACTGCTCTAAAACAAAATCAATAAAAAATTTTTTTAAAAAGTATATGGCCCTGGCCAGTTTGCCTCAGTGGTTGGAGCAAGGGCCGTGGACCAAAGGGTCTCAGGTATGATTCCCAGTCAAGGGCACGTACCTGGGTTGCAGGTTCAATTCCCCAGCCTTGGGCAGGATCATGGGGGAGGCAACCAACTGAAGTGTCTCTCTCACATGGATGTTTCTCTGTCTCTCCTTCCCTCCCTTCCACTCTATCTAAAAATTCAATGGAAAAATATCCTCTGGTGAGGATTAACAAAATAAGTAAGTATTATATGATTCTGTTAGGAACTTTATGCTCCCTGATTTCATTTTTCCTAGGTTAATATAACATGCTTTTCTTAAGCTCTGTCTACGAGAAATTCATGAAGAAGCTGGGTAGTGGAAGAATAAAATTATTTAAGGTTAAAAAGCCTGCCATAGTATGGATAATTTAAATAAAATAAAATAACCACAGTGAAATAAAACATGAAGCTGAATTTTTATCTGGTTTCATACCTAACAGTGTTTCACCAAAAAACTCTTAACACAATTGATTTGGGGAGAAAGTATACAATACTGTTACATCATTAGCTAGAAATGATAAGTTGCTTTCACCTGATAAGTCATGGTGAATAAGGTCAGCAAAATTGGGGTCTTCACCCCACCAAAATATCCACAACTCTCTTCTTCCAGGTCTTTGATCCCTGCGCCAAACACCAAGTACATCTGCCTTTAGGCAGCGACTAAAACTGCTTAAAATGGGGTCTTCCTCTGTCACCGGAAACAGAATAGGAGCAGAAGTTGGGCCTTGCCATACATATCTTTTCCATTTAATTCCCGTCAAGTCAGCCTGAAGAAAAGAAAGCATGATTCTTTTTTATTATTGCATGTTCAAAGTCAAAAATATTCACTACTAAGTCCCTTATTTCATTAGGACATAACAATTTTTCAATATATGCTTAAGATATTGAAAGCAGATTGACAAAAAAAAAAAAAAAAGCTTATTAATTCTGGTAATTCAGTAATCAAAAATTTAAGGAAAATAACTAAAACAATTTAAAAATTAACACTGGCATGTCACTGAATAGCAAGTCAATAAATGTGCAAACAAAGGAGAAATAAAAGAAACGAAATAGTGTTAAATATAAACATGCATTTAATACTGCACACTGAGTAACATTTCCTCTCAATACTAAGTTCTATTCTAACTGGTCACATTTGTTCCTTCACGTCAAACTTGTAACAAAAATTTAATTTTTAAAGACTCATCATTTCATGTTTACAGAAGTCTGAACTATAACAAAAAATTCTTGTTACTTCTTCACATATCCCTTTTAGGAAGTCATATAACTGTCACATTTGTGCTAGTCTATCCTCAAAGAACCTGATCCTAAAAGTACCAAAAATAGACTGAGTCAGAGAAGATAGAAACGTAAAACCTGTCCTATGTCTTATTACATCTGAAGAGATGCTGATTAATGGACATTGCACAAAAAATTTTTACAGGAGAAAGGGTGTTAAAAATCTTATTTTAGCACCTTGAATGGAAATTCAACATAGGGAATTCAGTAATTCTTTAAGCTAACTTAAAGGTGCAAAGTATAGGTGCCAAAAATGAAACTGCTGATACATGACTGGCAGTTTATACTTGCCAACTAGTTGTGCTCCGCCCACTCAATTCACTTACCTATCACATACTCTCTTAATATTTTTCAAAGCACAGTGAAAATGAAAAAAGAAAAGCCACCGAAACTTGAAAGCATTGAAGCAATAGACTGTCCAACTGAGGACGAAGTAATTGCAACAGTTGGTACTTTTTAGTCTTAAACGGTGGGATGCTGCCAGACCTGGGCCAACCTACACAATTGCCATCCCTACACCCAGCTCCCTCTGACTTTTCAATAAAACGTGGACCTGGCTGCTCAAAATTTTAAACACGCATGCAAAACAGCCAAATACAGAAATATTTAGTGCAAAACCACAGCACCTCCTCCATTAGTCCGTTCCACTCACACAAACATATCACACAAACATAATGTTCTAATAAAAGCAAGATGGCTCGAAATTGTCAAAACGGCAAACTGTTTTCAAAGTTTAAAGAGAAACATATGAAATGGCATCTACTGGTTGTTAACAGAGGTCTTAAGTACCGAAGGAAGAAACTAACCCTGTTAGTTTGAGTCATATAAAAAATTGCAAAACTAAAAGAGATTTTTTTTTTACTGCATAAGTTCCGGGGTCCTGTTTATTGGGGGAAACAAATTACCGGAATGAGGCATAAAGACGATGGGAGTATGGGCAACAGTGGAAAGTAAGAAGAAGGAATACATGACCAATAAGGAGAAAAGCGACAGTAAAGCATGGAAAAAGAGGGAAATGTTAGTGTCCTGCCAGATCAGGAGCCTAAGTTGAAGACAAGACTGAGGGAGGAAAAAGAGAGTCAGAAACAAGACGAGAAGAAGCCAACTCTCCTAACACAGAGCCCAGGACGGTGGGTGAGCGATCGCGCCTCCGGGCCGGTGCGGGGCTGGGCCGGGCGCCGGCGCCGGCTGGGCCTAGCCCCGGACTCGGGCATCTGGACCAGACCCGGACCCCCTCCCCCACGGCCCAAGGGCGCACCTCGCAGCCCCCTCCCCCACCGCCCCGCGCGCCGCGGTCCCCGCCCGCGGCCCCGGCACTCACCAGGCAGAAGAGGTTACAGTGACAATCTTCCAGGCTGGCCCCGTTCGGCACGAAGGAGGAACTCATCGTCCCTCACAGCAGCCGCCGCCGGCGCCACAACCCACCATCCGCCATTACCGCCGCCTCCGACCAGAGAGAGAAACACAGACACCGGGAGGGCGGGGGGGTGCTGGTTGGGGGGACAGTGGAAGAGGAGGCCGCCGGGCCGCCCGCCCTCCCCACCCGCCCCCCCGCCGCCGCGAGCAGCCCCCGCCGCCCGGCCGGCACCCAGCCGCCCGGAGCCGCGGGCCGGAGGCGGGAGGGCCGTGCCGCTCTCGCCCCGCTGGCCGGGCTGCGGCCGCCGCGGAGCTCGCGGACGCTCGTCCCTCTTTGGGGGACACAGGCTGTGTGCCCCCTCCACACGAAAAATAATAAATTACACAATAAATAATTAAAATCGAGTCCGGGAGGGGAAGAGCCCGAGCCCCGGGGGCTGCTCCGGGCGGGGAGGCGCCCGCAGAGGGGCGGAAGGGCGAGAACTGGAGAGCAGCGCAGGCCCCCGGCCCGGCAGCGGCGATGTCCTTAAGCCCAGTCTCCTCAGCGGCGGAGGTGGCGGCGGTGTCTGCGGGCTCGGACCATTCTCGGGCTGTGTCTTCGTGTAGTCCCTGGGCCAAGCCGGCCTCACGTCTGCTCTCCTGCGGCCTCACCGCCCGGACGCCGTAGTCTCCCCCATTTTGTGGGCCCAGCGGGCGGTGTTTTTCCCCCTTTAATCCGAATTCACGGGTTTTCCCTTCGCTTTAATGGCGGCCACAGGGACCAGCTCGCCCTCTCTGCTCGCCCATTGGCCGTCTTGAGGTCACGTGGGCCCGGGCTCCGTGGGGAGGGGGAGAGAAAAGGGAGTGAGGGAGGACCGGGAAGCTTTCGGCGGAGGCGGTGAGCCCCGGGGACTGGGCAGCCAGCTGGTGGCTACTAAGTTAGCGCCATCTGCTGGATGCCCCGGCCAGTGTACGATGACCCGTGGCCCTGGCCCTGTTTCTCCTTGCTGGGGAATTGACAGTACAACCGGGTTCGCATCACGAATCCGAGAACTACGTGGAAAGCAGTTTGAATTCTTTGGAAGAGAAAGTGTTGCAAAAATTCCAAGGCATTCTCATTCATTTCACGAGGCCGCTGGGGTGCTACGCAAACTCCCGGGCTTGGGGGTCAGGCGTTCTTAGATAGGACTCAGCCACTTTAAAAGTTGTGGTATTAAGAAAGAAACATAAAAGAAACAATATAGCCTTGTGGTTAAGAGCCTGGGAGTTACAGCCACATTGTCAGGTTGGAACCTTGAACGAGTCACTTCGCCTCTTCGTGTCTCGATTTCCTCATCCGTAGAATGGGGAAAACATGCCCCCCTACTTAACTCACAATAACTGAGTTAACACAAATAAAGCATGGTAGCCCAGTGCCGGGCACAGATAAAAAGCATTCTTAATGGTAATTTATTATTGTTGTCATTATTGCCTCATGATTATTAGGAGTAAGTGAACTAGTGTATTTAAAGTGCCCACTAGAGTCAAATCTCCGTGAGAACTGGGACTTTGTTTTGTTTACTGCTCTATCTCTAGTGCCAACAAAAGGTTCCTAGCACACAGTAGGTGCCTGATATTTGTAAATTTGCAAATGAATGAATGGCAAGAGGCAGGAACCTAATAAAATGTTTGTTTCCTTCCCCCAGGAAACACTCAGTTCTTGCCTTGATTACATTTCAATGTAGTTCCAAGATTTTTCCTTCGAGTTTTAGAGAGAAAAAAAAGGGGGGGGGGGGAGTAAATGTAATTCAAAAGTTAGAAACATCAGTGAGTTAGGACTTACCATAATTTTAAATCATAACTGCCTCTGTAAAATAAATGGTGGACCCTTCCATGTCACTTCTTCAGCCACGGAATGAAAAGCATTTCTCATCCATCCATTCATTCATCTATGGTGGTTAAGAGCCCAGATCTTGAAGCCAAAAGCCTATAGAGAAAGTTCTGCTACTCACTAGTTGATCTGGGATCAAATCTGACTATTGATCAAATAAATTCCTCTTACTCTCAGTCTTCTCATTATAAAATGGGGATAATAGAAGTATTTTTCTGCTAAAGTGTCCAGTAACTGAAACAGTGTAGGTATAGGGCTTGCCACAGCACTTACTGAATGTTAGCTATTAATATACTTTTTAAAATCATTATTCAGCACTGTGTGCTCAACTGAGTGGGTTGCTGATCTGTGCTAGGCCTGGGATGCAAATATGAATAAGATACCTGCCTGTCCCTCAAGATTCCTGAAGAGAGGTAATGAAGGAACCATTTCCCACAGAGTAAGATAAAATACAATAGAGGTAATTGCTTGAATAAGGTATGTATCAACTATGGCACAATAAGAGCGCTGGAGGAGGAGCACCAAAGTCAGAGAAGGCGTCTCAAAGTAGGTAGCATTTGAAATCAGATTTAAAGGATAAAATGAATACTTATAAAGCCCTTTGAAGCAGTTAAATCTTATTAAACCCAATTCAGATCTAAAGGCCACATATCAAAGTCAATTATACAACCAGAACTAATTCAATCCAGGAGCTCAAATCAACTAAGGTCCACATCCTTTCTAACTGAGTGCCAGCACCCAGGGACAGCAATCCCCAGACCCAACCAGGTAAAGGCCTCTGCTCATCTCTTCCCCTGAGAGAATTCTCAGACCTTTGTTCTCACTGCTTTTGTCACTCTGAAACGTCCTCCCCGCCCCCACCTTTTATTTTATCCAAAACATAGTAAGCCTCTTTAGAAATCTGCTCTCCATTGCCCTCTCCCCCCACCCCAACTTGAGCACCTTCTTCAGGACTCCAGAGGCAGGTATAATCTGCCTGAAACTTACCAAGTGCAAAATAACATTTGATTGACCTTTCATTTGAATGTCAATCTTTTCAAAAAGAAGGGGGAGATAGGAGACAGGAAAGGAGGAAGATCCAAAGGAAAAATATGAGCGGTCACTAAAAGGAGTAGGACAGAGAGAGATGGAGGGAGAAAGAGAGAGAGGGGTGAAAAAGCAGGAGGGATTGAGAGAGAGAGAGAATGGAGAAGCCAAGTAGAGGAGAAAGACACCAACTGTGAGGGGAATGGAAACATGGGGAGAAGAGGAGAGAGCAATGTCAGCGGAGAGAGCAATGTCAGCACAGAGAGCATATCAGTAACACCTTCACTCTCTTACAATGACATTTTGTATGACTGCATGATTTAAAGAGTAATGGAAACAAATGAAAACAGTATATGAACATTGTCAAAAGTTTGGAAGATACAGAAATGTAAAGATAAAAAATTTTTTAAATGTACATTACCAAAAATACACCCATGACATCACCACCTTGTAGCATTTTGATGTATTTCCTTCCAGACTTTTCCAAATATATCCTACATGGTTGAAGCCATACTATCCATACATTTTACTACACATAGTTACCAATCATCTAGTATGTGTCAGGTCATGTATGGACAAGGCATAAGCTATACAGGAAGTTCATACTCTTGCTAGCTATAGCATTTGGATGGTTAGACCAATTAGAGTCAAAATGCCACACCATGCCTGCCAGTTCCCTAACTTCCATTTATTCATTTGTAAAATGTGTATGTAATAATGGCACCTAAATATTGTGACAATTTAAAGATAATCGAAGTAAAATAGAATAGCCAATCAGGAATGTTAAGGTGAATCTTATTGCCTTGGGTCAATAATCACCTATTGTCCTCAACTCTTTGAAATATAGATTTGCTCAGTGATCTCAAACTGTTCTTTAACTCCTTCCACCTTTTTAGGACTCCATTCTGAATGGGATAGTGCAGGCACCTACCTTCCAAGAAGGGTGACAGAGCTACATCACCCGAGACAGAAAGAAAGTCCAGGAAAATGCAATGTCTGACTTTAGGACTAACACTCCCCACCTGATTCTGAAAAATCCCAGGGTCTACACCAGCGTTGTCTAGTAGAAATATAATAAGTGCTGAATAAGTAAAGTTTTTTGTAGCCACATGCAAAAAGATTTTAAAAGTAGGTGAAATTGCCCTGGCTAGTTTGACTCAGTTGTTTGTGTCAGCCCACAAACCAAAGGGTTGCAGGTTTGATTCCAGTCAAGGGCACAAACCTGGGTTGCAGGTTCAATCCTCAGCCCCAGTCAGGTAGGCAGCCAATCGATCTCTCTCTCTCACATCGATGTTTCTCTCTCTCTCTCCCCCTTGCTCCCTTCCACTCTATCTATTAAAAAAATCAATGGAAAAATATCCTTGAACCCTGGCCGGTTTGGCTCAGCGGTTAGAGCGTCGGCCTGCGGTCCAGAGAGACCCGGGTTCGGTTCCCGCTAAGGGCATGTACCTCGGTTGCAGTTTGTCCCTGGCCCTGGTTGGTCGTGTGGGTGGCAGCCACTCGGTGTGTCCCTTTCACATCGATGTTTCTCTCTCTCTCTCTCCCTCCCACTCTATCTGTACAAAAAAAAAGAAAAATATCCTTGAGTGCGGATTAACCAAAAAAACAAACAAAATAAAACACCCATTAATTTAATTTTATTTTAAAAAATAAGTGAAATTAATTTTAATTACATATTATATTTATTCCAATATAACAAAACAATATAACAAAAATATCATTTCACATTGAGATAGGCTTTGTTTGTTTTTTATCCTCACTGGAGGACATTTTTGCATTTATCTTTAGACACAGCAGGAGGGAGAGAGGGGGGAAGAGAGAAAAAAACATCAATGCAAGAAAGACATCCACACGACCCCAACCGGGGTGGGGACCAACTGCAACCGAGGTACGTGCCCCCATCAGGAACTGAACCCAGGACTCTCTGGTCGGCGGGCCAGTGCTCCAACCGCTGAGCCAAACCGGCCAGGGAAAGATAGGTGTGTTGTTTTTTTTAACCAAATCGTTAAAATCTGTGTGTATTTTTACTTATAGAACATTTCAATTTGGACCAACCATATTTCAAGTACCCAAGAGCCACAAGTGGCTAGTGGCAGCTATATTGGATAGTACAAATCTAGGGTCCAAAGCTGTAGGCTAAGGACCAATTAAGCTGTGGAGTGAGTGGTCTTGAGCCTGGGGACAACATTGATTTTCTTAAGGTCACATTAATGGTTTGATGTTGTATTTTAATTCAATAGAAAAG